GAGTCATCTTGCTTACCACCACAGTCCCAGCCTTTACAGCAGGGGCTCTATCAATATTGATGCTAAATCAATACTGACTGAAGGAAAATGGATTTGCTGGGACAAAATGCTGCCACGTGCCTGTGCTGTTCAGGCATCTTCTTTACATCAAAGACTCTGGCTGTCCAAACTTCTCCCCATGTCCTATAAGGTCCTGCCACAACTCTCTTAAGATGCCACTTCCTGCACAGGCCACCTCCGGTCTTCTCCTCCGACTTCCTCCAGGGCCAGGGAGTAGGCTTCAAGCTGCCGTCTGCTCACTGCACCCCTCACCTTTCTCACTGGGCTTGGTTTCCTCCCACAACCCCACACCCCTGCCTGGTAACAACACCACAACACTCAGGAACCACTTAGTGTGGCCCGCGTACTGTTCCAAGTGCCTTCCACATGCTAATTCATTGACATAATCCTGACATGAATCTGAGGAGCTGGGTAGCACCTGTATCCCCATTTTATACATGAGGAAAGTGAGGCACAGAGAGGCCAAATAACCTGCTCAGGGTTATACAGGAACGGGGGCTATGCAATCAGGCACAGGAGGCCTCTGAGCCCCTCACAGCCTACCAGATGTTGGCTTAGGTGTTTTCTTTCTTCAGCCTGTATTTTGTCAGTGCCTCCTTACCCAGCACACTCCTAGGGCCCCTCAGTTTGGAATCCCGGGCTCTGTGTACACCCAGCCAGCCTTACAGTACACAGGCAACCCTTGCACAGCCAGGGGGGCTGCTGGCACCCCGCCAGCTGTGAGCTTTTCCGCCTGCCGACACCTTGGGTAATTTCCCCTCAGCTTAGAGGGGAGCCCAGCAGCCTGACAGCAGCCCTGGGCATTTCCTGGGGCTTAACCTGGATGGGGAGCAGATGGCTGCTGGGGGCAGGACTCCGTCCCTGCTTCCCCCGCCCCAAATACATCCTGCTCCCGAGAAATCCCACGGTGAGCAGGCAGGGCAATACTTACCCAAGCCCAGCATGTCACTCCTGCAGCCTACAGACCTGGATGTGAGTGGCTGCAAAGGCTGGTGTGATGGGCAGAGGACTGGGATGCCACCATGGCTCTGACACCTGGGCTGTGTAAGTAGGTTACTTACACAGGTTACTTAACCTCTCTGATCTCAGTTTCTGCCTTCAAACACCATGGATTCTAAAAGCACTTAAGCTATTAGGGATGTGAGGAGCCCTAGTGGCACAGTGGTGAAGTGCTTGGCTGCTAACTGAAACGTGGGCAGTTCAAATCAACCAGCTGCTCTATGGGAGACAGGCGAGGGAATCTGCTTGGTGAAGATTTACAGCCTTAGAAACCCTAGGGGGCAGTTCCACTTCCTTCTGAGTCGGAATCGTTGTGAATAGCAAGTGGACTAGTACATGAAAGGCCTCCACTTGGAGCCTGGCACACAGTCAGCACTCAGTAAACGTTTGTGCACTGTGGTCAGGACGGTACTCAGCACCTGGCCTGGGCTTAGGACTGCAGGGGCCATCAAGACAAAAAATTTGTCTCAAAGGAGTCGATGGGGCAGCAGAAGCCACAGTGAACTAGAAGGACTCCCAATCTCAACCGATGGGCACCAATGAGAACAAATGCTCCCATTCATTGAGCGCTCACTGGACCCCGGGCCCGGTGGCAGCTTGTTTTTTTCTTTTTCTTTTTATTGTGATTTGAGTGAAAATTTACAGAGCAAATTCACTTTCCATACAGCAGCTCACATACACTTTGTCTCATGACATTGACCACAATTCACCACAAAGCAACAGCTCCCCTCCCACTTCCCCCTGACAGTCACCTCTTCCCTGTGTCCATCCCTCCATGTACTCCTGTCCCCTGAACTGTTTTCTGTGCATAAACAGCCCTTCTTTCGCCCATGATCGTTCTCTCCAAGGAGTGTCTCTACCTCAGGTAAATGTTCAACTCATATGCCTGTCTTTTGTTTGGCTGGAAGCCACAGGTGTGGATTCAATTTCAGACCTGAAGGGCAGCTAAGGGCCATAGTCTCAGTGGTTCCACCAGGCTCTATCAGACCAGCAAACCTGGTCCCCCCCTTTTTTTTCCCAAATGTTTTTGAGTTTTGTTCCACATTGTTCTCGCTCTCTATCCAGGATCTCCTACACAGATCCCACTCCGAGTGCTTGACAGTGGTAGCCAGGCACCATTTAGTTCTTCTGGTCTCATAGTCATATAGGCTGTGGATTGCATGGTATATCAGTTGCTAGGACCAATTTTTTCCATGAGTCTTTGGTTTTCTTCATTCTTCTTTGCTCTGGACGAGGAGAGACCCATTGTTGCATCTAGATGGCTGCTTGCAAGCTTTTAAGATCCCAGTCGCTACTTGCCAAAGTAGGAGGTGGAACAATATTTTGTGTACTATGTTATGCCAACTGAGCTTGCTGTCCCCTGCAACTATGGTCCTGAGCCCACAGGTTCAACTACTCAGTCCCTCTGGGTAGCTGACTGTGACGAAGAAGTGACTACAACCTTGCCCCTTGTCAGCTCTACTATACACCTGGGAATTCAGATCATACAAATAAACTTATAGAACCATTGTCTGCCAACCCTATACATGGCCTTGGGTACACTTCCTGCTGCATGGACATACCTAATAATTCAGCCTGTCCACCCATCTATCCACCCGTATACCCATGTTTGCCTTCACTGACAACGCAGTACTGTATGTGCAAAAGGGTTCATCTTTGTTGTCTGTACCTCCTATGTACCTCTCTATGTCTTTCTCTTCCTCAGTCAGTGGCAGCCTTTTGTAAACATTCACAGGACACCTTCCACTAACCCAGGGAATTGTTTAATTGTAATTCACAGACTTAGAAATTGGGGCTCAGCGAGATTATATCTCTTGCTGACGGTCTCGGGCTGGACAGTGGTCAGGCCAGGAGCGACACCCTCTGTCCAGTGTGAGGCTCTGGATTCTGCCTGGGGCTGTACTGCTGCTGGGGACGCAGGGAGGGGCTCTCGAACCTTCTGGGGCCACGATGTGGATGGCGGACACTATTAGCTGCCTGTTGTTGGGAGCTCTGGAGTCTGCTTCTCCTCCTAGCGACTCTGAGAAGAACCACCACACGGGGTTCTCTGAGCTGTACAAGAGGAGCCAACTGCCAGGTCTTTTCTCCTGCAGAGCCCTGAGTGGGCTCAAACCTCCAACCTCTCAGTTGGCAGCTGAGTACTTAACCGTTGCGCCACCAGAGCTCCTTGTGTAATCTTAGGCAAGATGCTTAATCTA